GGGGGGGGAAGATTTCTGCTTCTGAAGCAGGATCTCTCCTAAAACCAACTTCTCTTGCTTTGCTCGGCTCCAGCACCCACCGAAACGCCCGCTGTGCCATGCTTGCGGCGAGGCAGTGGGCATCCTACCGCAGGCTGGTGGGGGAAAACAGACCCCGAATAAGCTTTTCTTTGGAGCCCCAGCGACTCTGAGCAAGGGCTCTCCTTGCTTAGTGCAAGCACCACCTTCCTCCCTGCTCCGTTCCTGGGTTTGCCAGGCTTTGCCGGTGTCACCGTGTTTCCTCCTTCACGCTAACGTTGACACAAGGATCTTCTGGTGCATCCTCCATTAAGCCCCAGCAGCTGATATCCCTGGCCTGGGGTTTTCAGGAGGGTGCTGCAGGACTTTGGTGGTCAAATCCCTGGAAATTCAAAGGGTGGTTCTTTGTAACACCCTTCCCTCGGCCGGTGGGCTCAGTTCCTGCCGATAACCAGCTGCTTCTGCAAGAAAACCAGCTTCCATGGCCCGTGGTCTTGAAAGGCTTTAACTAAGATGCCGTTTTCATGCCCAGAGCCCCTCGCCCGGCGATTTACCGCACTCCCCAGCCAGGAATTGCGTTGGGGAATCGCTCCTGGGTGACTCTCGCTGTGGTCAGTGTCAGTTGCTCTTTGCTGGACCCGATTCTGTCCAAAACAAGCCACCAGGTTAATCCCAGATCTTTTGTTGCTGCCAGCCCAGTATTTCACGCCCAATACCTCATAAGCCCCTTTGCTGCTCTCCACCGCTAATTCAGTGGAGATGCTGATGTGAGCACCGGCGCTTTTATATTCCCTTTTCTGCTTGAAGCCTCTCAACTTGTTGAAAGGAGGCAGGGTAGGGCTGGCAAGGGTGTCTGCAGACGGGGATGGAGCGGGAACCACCGGGGTCTGCGCCTCCACCTCATCCTGCATCTCCCTGGGGGCAGAGCCTGGACCTGCTCCAGCTTCTCTCTTCCTCTTGTTTTTTATTAAGCTGATTCGATCGAGGATTCCTACAAAATGGGGTTGCAGTCAGTTGGAAGCCTTGAGGTTTGAGGCGGAGGTCTGGGGTGACCGACCTCCGAGATGCTGGGGCGTGATCCTGCACACGATGCTCCGGTCCCCTGGCCCCAGCCTGGCCAAGGGGACGGCGGAGCTCCCTGCCCACTTTGCCCCGTGCTTTCTTCCAGGGAGCGCAGGCATTTTTTTAAAGGCACTAAACACTCACTCTTAGGTGGTTTGCTGAGAGCAAACAGACCCTTGAATCAGAGCTCTGTGTTTGCCCTCGCTGTTTGGTTTGTGAGTTCAGTATCGCAGCCTCTAACTTACCATGTAACGAGGGAGCTCTAATCTAAGGGAGGACCCAGACGTGGTATTGGAGCGGAGCCCATCACACAGCCGTATGGCTTCAGCTTGGGAATTTACCAACGGAGATTTTGCTGCTTTTTTCCTCCTGCAAAGCCGGTCCGCCCGGGAATGCACCCCTCAACTTCAGCAGTCACCACCCGAACCACTTGTACCTCTCCTGTGGCCGTTGAGCCGCTTGTAAGGGGGATTTTTGGTTGTTAGGTTGGGTCCTGCTGCTGCTTCGTGGTGAGGGTCGTGGTCGGTGGGCGGCCGGTCAGGGGAAAGCCTCGCAGGGGTGGTTCAGCCGAAATACCGGGCGTGCGGAGGGCTGGGCAGGACAGGAGGACAGCCCTGTCCCTGGCTCCTTGGCCTTTTTTTGGGGGGATATCTGTTCCTCCTGGGTTCCTCACGTTATTTCCAAGGAGCTGAGCAACCTGTGACCCTCTTGGCTCCAACATCCTTTGCCCTGACGTATTTATCAGCCCTCTGAGGCATTTTTCATGCTCTGCTAGCAAGCAGAACAGCACCTGTGCCGACGGCAAGGGAAGCAGGAGCACGGCATGACCTGCGGTTGGGGCAGAACACGATGCCAGCGGTGCCCAGCCAGGCATCGCATCCAGCTCTGCCCATCCGTGGCTGAGGCCAAATCCCCACGGTGGGCTTACCAGTGTCCTCAGGACAGCGAGGAGCTTCACTGAGGGTTTCCCTGGTGCATTTTCAGCATCCATGCAAAGGGACGTGGCCAAGGCATGCCCCTGTGGCTGGCAGACAGTCTGCAAAATGACCTGCCAAACTGGTTTAAACCTCATCGCTGCAAAGGGTCAACGCGGGCGGGAGGCGAGGAGGAGAAATGAATATCCAGGGTTTGACTGCCCCAACACATGAGCTCGGGCACCCCACTGCTTTGCTGGCCCCCATGCCGTTCTTCAGCCCCGTAAGCGCTGAACGGGACAGCCCTTGGCTACGCTGCCTCGCTCAGAGCTATGCTGAGGGTGTTATTTGAGGAGGAAGGAGTTGCAAAGCTTTGATCGGGTCCAGGTTTGGAGTGCTCTGTGGTTCTGGGTTAATAGCTCTTGCAGGGGGGTGTGTGTTGCTCCGGAGATGAAGTGAGGGTTGAGCCAGAGCCCGCGCAGGGACTCGGCTGAACTTCAGCTTTGGTTAAAAATAATGGTGTAACTGCCTCAGCATCTCCTCATCCCGCCGGCCGGTTGATCTCAGGGTGTAACCTTAACCGACGGGATTGCACCCAGAGCATCGCAGCCTGCGCAGGGGGGGCTGCAGGTGGTGCTGCCGACCTGCCCAGCATCACCTCTGGGGTGATGCGCTGACCCCCAGTGCTCCCCCTGTTCTCCATCCTGAGCGGCAAGGCTGTTGAACGCTGCCTAAGACCTCTGAGCCCCTCTTATTCCTCATCTTCTCATTTCCTCGGAGCACAAGGACTGCTTTTAATAGACCTTTTCAGCCGCAGAGGGACTTTATAAAGCTGCTCTCAAGCCCAGGCACCGTCTGCAGTTCCCTCGCCCCGCGTCCTCGGAGGGTCAGCCCCAGGAAAGACGCCAGGACAGATGGATGCCCCACAGGCTTGGATGGCGAGCTGCCTTTTCAGCTGGAGTCACTGGAGATGCTGGCTGGCCTGGTGTCATTTGAATACTAATAAACCACACTTTTTGTTTCAACTGTAGCCCCTTTGTAAAAGCATGGGCAGGCACAATGCGGCCCCCGGGCGCTGTAATCTGCCCTGGGGAGCCAGCACAGCACATTTAATGCATTCAGAAATCAAACAGTGCTGATAGAGGGCTTTCCCCCATCCCTCTCCCCACACTGCTAGGTATTTAAAACAGCCAGCTTGGCACTTTTCCCACATCCCGGGTCTCAGCTGGCCCGAAATTCAGCGAGCTGCCTTGGTGCCTGGTACAATAAAAACAAACAGGAGGTGAAACCTGGGGCTTGGAGGCAGCAGGACCCGGGACTCCTCTCGGCCGACACAAACGGAGAAACTCTGCTTCCCCCGTCTGCCCGGGGAAGGCAGCAATGAGTCCCCGAAGGTCTTTTGGATTTTTTTTTTTTCCCCTCCCTGGTTTCCTGCTTACACCTTTCAATCTTGCCTTCGGCGAGAAGCCACATGCCGGGAGTGCACGGGATTCCTGGGGCAGGGGAGGTTGTCCTGGACCGCGGCAGCCAAGCCTGAACATGAGTCTTTTTTCCACATATCAAACTCTAGTTTCGACTGCTGGCTAGCAGGGTTTTAACCGCTTGGGCTGGAGATTTAGGAGCTTTCGCCAGCATCCTGCGTCAACAGGGTCAGGAACGGGTGTGCCGCCTTATTCCTTATGGAGCCTGAGGCTGGAGCTCGTCTTCCCTGGGAGCGCCGTTGGGTTTGGGCACGGGCTTGTCTGGATGGGGCCGGTGGGATCTGTCCTGCTGGCAGACGCGCTCCTAGCTCAGCCACGGCCTCTGCACTTCTTACCCAGGGCATCAGGATGTATCTCAAAGATAATGCTTTGATCCCCATCAGCTATGGGGGTGCCGGGGGTGCAGAGGAGGGGCAGGAAATACAGCCACAGCTCTGATAAAATAAAAACCCGAATATAATAATAAATAAAATAATGAAAAAATAATAAAAAAAAAAAATCATACCTTACCCTCATATTTGCGAGGTGGCTGGTTACTTCCTCGCCTGCTCCAGGGCTGTCCGGTGCGGGCACCGATGCTGCTGAAAGGGACCCGTCGAGTTAAATGGTTGTTCTTGTCTGGGCTCCCGCAGAGGATGGTGACTTCTTGGCGCTGGACCTCGGCGGCACCAATTTCCGCGTGCTGAGAGTGAAGGTGTCCGACAACGGCCTGCAGAAGGTCGAAATGGAGAATCAGATCTACGCCATCCCCGAGGAACTCATGCGAGGCAGTGGGGTGCAGGTGGGTTCAAGCCCTCTCTCCCCCGTCCCCGCTCTCCTGGGCAGCCCCCTAACTGCAGGGCTTCCCCCATGGGGGGGGAATCACCCATCTTGGGGCAGTTCTCCTGCCTGAAGGGAGGGCTGGTGTCACCCCAAGACCCTGAGCTGTGTAATGGGGTTGGAGCAGCATCCTATTGCTGCCATGCCCAGCAGGATCCGGGTAGATCCTTGCCTTCCTTTGCCCGAAGCTATTAATTCCCGACACCAAGTAACCAGGACGGGTGAGGGCCACGGAGGTGTGGTGTGGGTGGCAGACCACCGGTCCCTCAAGCGGGCAGGGATGCAGGCGCTGCTCTGGCGCATCGTCTCGGTCGGGGCACCCGGGCGAGGGCTCACTCTTTGCCTTTTTTTCCAGCTCTTCGACCACATCGCTGAGTGCTTGGCCAACTTCATGGAGAAGCTGAAAATCAAAGACAAGAAACTCCCCCTTGGGTTCACCTTCTCCTTCCCGTGTCACCAGACCAAGCTGGATGAGGTGAGTGAAGGTCTCGCCTCCTCCCGAGGGCTGTGGCTGAGCCTGGGATGCAGTGGGATGAGGGTGAGCTCTCGCTGGGGGCAACAGCCATCCCACACCAGTTTAGCTTGTGCTTTTAATTAGGCTCGTGGGGCTTGGGTAGCGTGTAAGGGCTTGGTGCTGATGGAAGCAAAGGGTGTGTCCTGGGGCTTGCAGGGGTCTAGGAGGTGATGTTTAACATGCTGGTTGCTCCGTGGTTCCGCTCTGCACGGATGCCTCCACAGAAAGCAGCGTTTTTCCCTTCTGCAGACAGAGCTCAAGGAGAGCGGCTCTGGCGGGGAGAGCAGCTCCAGCCGCCTGCAGCCAAAGGCAGCCCAGACGTGCCGAGCATCACATCCCCCGTCATGCAGCCGGCGCAGGGAGAAGGGGGGGGGGGGGGGTCACCCGCCCCGGCTGCTCGCCATGCTCCGGGCAGCCGGGAATCAACGGCTGTCAGCTCCGCTCAGCTGCGCCAGCTCTCCGCCGGGAGCTGGTGACCTCGTTGGGAGACTAAACATCTCGGCAAGCAGAGCCCAGCCGGGGCACGTGGCCCCTCTCCTGCCACCCACAGCCTCTGCCGGGCTTCTGCTCTTGGCGGGGGGGGGCTAGTGCTTTCCTTGCCCTTATCTCACCCGGCTTCCCGGGCAGGATCGGGGAAAGGGGCGGTGCCATGGCGTGCTGGCGATCCAGCACGTCCTCCCCGGGAGGGAACGCAGTGGCATTTTGTACCAGGGATGGAGCAAGTTGTGCTCTCGTGCCTGAGCGATTCAGCAAAAGCAATGAGGAAGAAGATTAACGCTTTCCTCGTGGTAGTTGCGAGGGCTGTAAAAGAAAAAAAGAAAAAAAAAAAAAAAAAAAAAAAAAAAAAAAAAAAAAAGAAGCTGGGGGAGGAAGCATCTGTCCCTGGTGACCTCGTCTGGTTTGCTTCTCTCTGTGCCTCAGTTTCCCCATCTGTAAGGCAGGGCAGGTGTTTGCCTCGCGAAGGCGTCTGCGGTTCTAGGGTTGGAGATTTCGAATGCAGTCGGGTCCTTTCCCTTCCCCCAAGGCTCAGCGCAGCCCCCGGCCAGGTGACTGCGATGGCTCTGCTGGGTGGGGACACACCCGGTGCCTTCGGCTGCGGGGGACCGTGAGACCCCCATCCCGCAAGGTCTGGGTCAAGGAGCTCTCCCTACGCTCGGGAACAGGTTTTGCTCCAGGGCTCCATAAAACCCAGTCACGGGAATCACGTTTCCTCCTGCCAGCAGGAACAACGAGCGACTTGCGTGCTATTTCGTGGCCATAAACTTTATCTGCGCAGAGATGAAGAAATTCTTGCTGATACCGCAGCTCGCAAGCTGATAACAGGGAGGGACTCACCTGCGGTGCTGTGTGTCCCTTGCACCGGGGAGCCCTTGAGACACGTAGCTTGGTGGGTCTGTCCTCCGAGCATTCCTTCTTGCCGTTTCTCCATAGAGCATCCTCGTTACGTGGACGAAGGGATTCAAATGCAGCAGCGTGGAGGGGAAAGATGTGGTGTCGATGCTGCGCAAGTCCATCAAGAAAAGAGGGGTAAGAGGTTGGGCAGGTCTATCACCTCTTGGGGTGGTGGGACGGGGGCACACGGTTCCCTGGGACAGGATACTTAAGGCTCCGCACCTTGCCTCCCCTGTGACAGCAGAGATGTTTCGGTCCGTTTTGGCCACGCTGACTCAATCTCTCTCCTCTCCACCATCTCAGGACTTTGACATTGACATCGTGGCTGTGGTGAATGACACTGTTGGGACCATGATGACCTGCGGCTACGACGATCATAACTGTGAAGTTGGCCTCATTGTCGGTGAGCTGCTGCAAGGGGGGGAGAATTGGGGTCCGTCTCTCCATGAACTCCAGAAGGACATCATGTTTCTTGCAGGTTTCAGGGTCTTTTGGGGGAAAAAGAAAGGGGATAGCGATGTTAGAAAACCAGCATTGCCCAATGTTTGTTTTCTTCCATCTTTGCTTTCTGTGGTGCGTTTGGCTGTGGGTAATTATGGGGAATACGGGAAAGGCAGCAGCCTCTCACCGCATCCCTGTGCTCGGTTCAGGTACCGGTACCAACGCCTGTTACATGGAGGAGATGAGGCACATTGGCCTTGTGGAAGGGGATGAAGGTCGGATGTGCATCAACATGGAGTGGGGGGCCTTTGGTGACGACGGCGTGCTCAACGACATCCGGACGGAGTTCGACCGCGAGATAGACATGGGCTCGCTCAACCCTGGCAAACAATTGTAAGCAGATTCTTGGCTTCGGCTCAGGCTCGGGGTTTGCTCTGCATTGTTCATCCTCCCATTGCGCTGGTGTTAGTGGGACCGAAGAGGTCGTCCTAGTTAACTAGGTCACCGCGTCCTCCGCCGTGCCAGCTACACCAATGCAAATAGGGGCTGTATCACAAATTTGGGTTGGTACGCCCAACTGAACCACTCAACACCCGCTTCCCTCGTCAGCCTTTCACTTGAATGTGTTGATTTCTGTTTCGTTCCCCGGCCAATGAAGTTATCTGCCAGCCAAGGCAAACATCACCACCTAATGTCCACATCCAAGTCCTACAGATCTCCCATTCCCCAGATGGCTTCTGGCAGCACGGGTGGGATTTGCGGGGGTCTCCGCAAACTGACAGACCCCCCTTCAGGTAGCCATAAGTTCTCCTTGCAGAATGATGGTCATATCAACATGGCTTTATTTTCTCAGTGATGGGATAAACTACTCTGGAAAGAGACTACCTAGATTGCATTTGGGCGATTGCATTTGGGCCTGGAAGGCTGCCAAGTGTTTTTAAGGTCAACCTGTGGCCACCCCACGGCACACGCAGCCAAACAAACACATCTTGTGCTTCCCCCATCGGCAGGTTTGAGAAGATGATCAGCGGGATGTACATGGGAGAGCTGGTCAGACTCATCCTGGTGAAGATGGCCAAGGAAGGGCTCTTGTTTGGAGGAAAGCTCACACCAGATCTGCTCACTACCGGCCACTTTGAGACCAGATACGTCTCTGCTATTGAGAAGTAAGTAGGATCCGGATGGTTTCCTGGGGTCCCAGCCCATCTCCTGACATCTGTGCTGGGGGAAAACAGGACCCACCACAGGGCAACCCGCTGACCAAACCAGGACACTTCAGATGGCAAAAGTTGGATTTCCAGGCATGAATCCTTTTTTGTTCTTTGACGTGCAGAGAGAAAGAAGGGCTGCAGAAAGCCCACGAGATCCTCACCAAGCTGGGCCTGGAGCCATCTCATGAAGACTGTGTGGCCACCCACCGCATCTGCCAGATCGTCTCCACCCGCTCGGCCAACCTGTGCGGGGCCACCCTGGCAGCCGTGCTGCGACGCATCAAGGAGAACAAGGGGTTGGACCGGCTGCGGTCCACGGTGGGCGTGGATGGCTCTGTCTACAAGAAACATCCTCAGTGAGTCCATGAGGATGGGCAAGGCTGGTGGGGAGAGAGGGTGAGAGAGCACAAATCCGTTCCTGCCAGCAGTGGATAAAGCTTGGCACAAGCAGAGCATCTCCAAATATTCCCCCGGGCACCTCCGTTTGGATCCCAAAGGGGGCCCAGTCGTTTACAACCCCAGAGGGTCACATCACCTGTGGTGGCACACTCAGGTCCTCTTTCCTCCTCCGTAGCTTTGCCCGGCGTCTCCATAAGACAGTGCGGAAGCTGCTGCCGGACTGCGAGATCCGTTTCGTGAGGTCAGAAGATGGAAGCGGCAAAGGAGCAGCCATGGTGACGGCGGTGGCCTACAGACTGGCCGCCCAGCACAAGGCACGGCAGAAGATTTTGGAGGCGCTCAAGCTGAGCCACGAGCAGCTCCTGGAGGTGAAGCAAAGGATGAGGATGGAGATGGAGAAGGGGCTGGGCAAGGAGACGCACACGGAGGCAACTGTGAAAATGCTGCCCACCTACGTGTGCTCAACTCCAGATGGGACAGGTGATGTACCATGTGTATAAGCCCATGTATGTCCTGCGTAGGGCAAAGAGGCAGCATCGCTGCTCCCAACTTCTGCACCGCTTAGGGAAGGGCTGGGACCTTTGCCATGGCCAGTTGCCTCTTCGTGGTGGGAGTGGCACAAACCTTTTTAACCTCCAGTATGATACTGGGGAAAGTGGCCGAGCCTCCAGGACGTTCTGCACTTGACTTAACACAAAGCCTGGCTTTCACTGTGGTTTTTGCCGCCGCAGGTTTCTCACCACCATTGTCCTGGGTTGCACTCCCAGTTCTGTCGGTGGCTTGTGTGTGCGCCTGCCCCTTGGCTTGAAACCCCGTGATCTCCCCGAGTCTGGAGCAAACCTGTCCATCCATCGCCTTCCTACCTGCACCTGCTGTTCTCCATTCCCAGCCACCTCTTGGTTTCTGGTCCTCTCCCAGGAAGAGGGCAGATTCGGATCAGCTTTGTGCCACACGTCCACGATGACCCTCGTTGGGATCTCTCTCCTAATGATTCTCTCTCGGGTTTCAGAAAAAGGAGATTTCCTCGCCCTGGATCTGGGAGGTACCAATTTCCGTGTGCTGCTGGTGCGCGTGAGGAACGGGATGAGGCGCGGCGTCGAGATGCACAACAAGATCTACTCCATCCCGGTGGAGATCATGCAGGGGACGGGAGAGGAGGTGAGGATGGGCAGCTGGAGGTGGAAAACTGGGGCATCTTCCCTGGGGTGGCAGCAGAAGTGGCAGGCAGTAGCGCTAGCTGACCACAGGAGCTGTTTTTGCCTTGCTCTGCTTTCCAGGCTGCAAAACCAGGAGGGTGGAGAAGGCTGGTGCTCTCCTGCCTTTAGAGCAGTGAGTTCTGCCCAAGGCTCTGGAGTTCGAAATGTGCTTTAGGAAGCTTGAAACTGGTTTTTAGGTTAGAAATTGTGTTATTCCCAGACATCACTGAACCTCCCTGAATCCCACACGCTCCACAAGGGCAGATAAGCATCATCCCCGTTTCCGAGATAGAGAAACCACAACACAAGCAGTAAGAGACGTCTCCAGAGTCTTATTTGCAGATGGAAAGAGTTTTGCAAACCACTGCAGGCAGTGCTCGGGGACCGGGAGTATTTCTAGCAGGAGCCGGGGCAGACAGGCTCTAGGGATACCTTGCAGAGTGACGGGACTCCCGCGTCGCCCCTGGGAAGCTGGTCGCCTCCCTGCTAGCCCCTCCATCCCTTCTGGGTGTAGTACGGGGCCTGCAAGGTGGAGGTATCATCACAGTGATATGACCTCATTGTCGGTGGGGAAGAGGATGAGAAAGGAGCTGTTTTGGGCTTGCTCACCTCACACAGCGCAGCTGAGCAGCATGCTGGCCTGTTCAAAGCCCTGTTGGCTTGGGAATGGATCAACATCTCCAGTAGGCCAGGCAGGCTGGCATCCAGCCGAGTTTCTTGCTGCGGTGGTAACTTCTCCTTTCGGCTTTGTGCACCCAGCTCTTTGACCACATCGTCCACTGCATCTCCGACTTTCTGGAATACATGGGAATGAAGGGTGTATCGCTCCCGCTCGGCTTCACATTCTCCTTCCCTTGCCAGCAGAACAACCTGGATGAGGTAACCCCAACCCACCTCGTAGCATGCATGTCTGGTACCCAGGGCTGGCTGAAAAGCCAAAGCACACTGGAAACTCTACGTACCAGCATCAATGACCATGTGGCAGGTCAGATGGAGACCCAAGAGAGGGGGAAGGTAGGAGCTTGGAGCTGCCGGTGCTTCTGACAAGCTCCTTTGCTGCATCAAAGCAAATGCAGATCCCTTGAGCTCTAGAGACAACCCAGTTGAGGCATCCTCCATGTGTGAGGATCTGACCTCCACGTGCCAGGCAGTGCCTGCCGAGAGCTGGTGGACCTGGGGTTGCTGTCCCTCCCGCCCAGCAGCCTGGGTGATTTACCGCAGGGTATTTCCACAACAGGGGATTCTCCTGAAGTGGACAAAAGGTTTCAAGGCGACCGGCTGCGAAGGAGAAGATGTGGTGAACCTGCTGAAGGAGGCAATTCACAGGAGAGAGGTGAGTGTCCACGTAGCTGTGAGAAGCCAGCTGCTTGCTCCCCACACCCTGGCTGTCTTTGGCATCTTTAATTGGCCTGTAAAGCAAATTAATGGGCTGAGCACAGGGCTAATGAGTGTCTGAATTTTAACAACCACCCTTAGTCATCACTAGAGGTTGGATTTTCAGACCCGGGAGCTAAGAGCTGGCTTCTGGCGAGGGCTGGAGCAGACTTGTCTCACCGTGAGTTAGGGAGACACCATGCTCGTTTCCTCCGCGCAGACCACCCAAAGCTCCTGCCCTGGAGGCTGTTCCTGGCAGGGCTGTCCCAGCGTGCCAGCTCCTCTGCAGTTATGTCTTGCTGGAGGTGTTTTGAGGTTTGAGCATCCACCTGCAGACACATGGGGCTGCAGGAGGTCTGTGGGTGCCTGAAGGACTCCCACGCTCAGCAGACAGGTCCTTTCCCAGTCGTGGGAGCAGACGTAGCAAGCTGTGTCCTCCAGGAATAACCCACGCAATCCCATCCCTCTGCAGGAATTTGACCTGGATGTGGTCGCGGTGGTAAATGACACAGTTGGCACCATGATGACCTGCGGGTACGAAGATCCATATTGCGAAGTTGGGCTGATAGTTGGTGAGGACTGAAACTTTCTTGCGGAGTTCCTCTGCCTGCGGTCCCAAACCTGCCCCCGTGGGGTGCTCCTGGCTGCAGGAGAGGTGTCTGAGGGCTTTTATCTTGCGTACGTGCCCCACTTCTCTGACGGCCCCGTTGAAAGACGCTTCTCTCTCTGCAGGCACAGGCAGCAACGCCTGTTACATGGAGGAGATGAGGAACGTGGAGCTGGTGGAAGGGGAGGAGGGCAGGATGTGCGTCAACATGGAGTGGGGGGCGTTTGGTGACAACGGGTGCTTGGATGACATACGGACAGAGTTTGACTTGGCGGTGGATGAGCTGTCTCTCAACCCTGGGAAGCAAAGGTGCGTGGTGGCTTTGGGGGGGGCTGGGAAGGGACCCCCGATGAGGCTGGGTGTCCAGGAACAGTTCAGTGGTGCCCCACCAGCCTCTCGGTGGAGCATCAGAGGATGACGAGCAGGGCAGAGTCTGGCTTTGCGACGCACCGATGCGTCCCTCGTCCCCTGCCCGCAGGGTGGGGACCACACCGCTGGACTTGCTCCAGGGTGTCAGGCCAGGGGGTTGTGTCAAAGGCAACTGGCAGAGCTGGGATCCCGATCCAGACGCAGTGTCCCTTCTTGTCCTGATGTGCAGCCTTGCCCTCTCCTTCCCAGGTTTGAGAAGATGATCAGCGGGATGTACCTGGGGGAGATCGTCCGAAACATCCTGATGGATTTCACCAAGCAAGGGCTGCTCTTCCGGGGACGGATCTCAGAGAGGCTGAAGACCAGAGGGATCTTTGAGACCAAGTTCCTGTCCCAGATAGAAAGGTAAGGTCCAACAGGCAGGGTGAGCACCAACTCTGGCCTTACAGCTGCAGATCAGAGATGTAGTTTGGGGAAAGCGTTCCCAGCGCTTGTGGGAGGAGTCCCAACCACTCAGTCTGGAGCCAGGACGACGTAGGGTGCTGCAATGCAGGTAAGTCAGCAAAACCCATGTGGTTCTGACAGCGCCGGTGTTGAGAGACAAGGAAACTGGGGTTGGCAATACAGACACCTCTTTATCCTCTGCCCTGGACAGAGAGGGGCCACAGGTTAAATAGCTGTCACGCTCCAAGTCAACGGCTTTGTCCTGAAATAGCCTCACTGATTAGGATGTGACATCAGAGCCACATCCAGATCTGAAAGCTGAGGTTAGAGGGGAGCTGTAGAGTCCCTCCAGTCAGTGTCACCCAAGCCGCGAGTCCCTGGGCTCTGCAGGATGTAGATAGGAAAGGGGAAGCCACACATCCAGGTTGCTCCATCTCCTAATGCTGCCTGGCCCTCGTGTCCTCCCCAGCGACTGCCTGGCCCTGCTCCAAGTCCGCTCCATCCTCCAGCATCTCGGCCTGGAGACCACGTGCGACGACAGCATCATCGTGAAGGAGGTGTGCACGGTGGTGGCCCGGCGGGCAGCTCAGCTCTGCGGGGCCGGCATGGCAGCTGTGGTGGACAAGATCCGGGAGAACCGCGGGCTGGACTTCCTCAAGATCACGGTCGGCGTGGACGGGACGCTCTACAAGCTGCACCCTCAGTGAGTTGCTCGGTGGTTTGCGGTTGTCCTCCAAGGAGGCTCACGCTGGTGCATCTGCCCATCTTGGGCAGATGGGGTGCTAAGTAAGAGTCAGCGTGGAAGGCTTCACGGGGTAGCTGGCGAGGAGAGGAGGTATTTTAGGGTCTCAAGGGCTGCCAGTAGCTCACTGATCTAAACTCTGTCAAGGCACAGCAAAAACCAGCTGCTCCCTAAAGGATGGGGCGCCAAGACAGATAACACAGCAGGGACCTTGCACCAGCCAGGACCCAGTCCCACAGTACCTGAGGCCAGGTTGACCCAGACACGGTGACCAGGTTCAACCAGGAGTCCAGATCATCGGACGAAGTCACGGGGATGAGGCAGGTCTAAACCAAGAAGTCAGTCCATGATCTGGATCAAGAAGGCCCACAGCCAAGCAAAAACTCAACTATGCCTGAGCTGAAGGCTGGTACTCCTAGGACAATGTTGCTTAGACTAAAGGCACTAAAGGCACAGGGCTGAGCTTAAGTAGGGCTCCAGGGCCCATGGGTAGAGGGAGGGCTCTGAAGATCCCCCCCAGGCAAGGCTGGTCAGGGCTATTAAGGTTTATTAGTGCTCTCAGGGCTTGGTGGGACTAGAGAAGGGGCCAGATTTAGTCCTGAGTGGAGGATTATGTTGTGCTAACTGTGGACTTGGGCTGAAGCAGAGAGACTTACGCTTTCCAATGCCTCATACCCGGCAGCTCTCTCTCCATCCACCTTTCTCCTCTGTGTCTGTAACACTGTTTGGGACTCTGTTGAAGGCAGCTATGATGATAGGTGCGAAGTGGTTTGTTCCTCGCAGGGCCGGCACCTTCAGCCCAAGGCAAGTTAAATCAGCGTCTCTTCCTTCCCCCCCTGTGCCCTACAGCTTCTCCACCGTCATGCACGAAACAGTGAAGCAGTTGTCTCCAAAGTGCGAAGTGACCTTCCTCCAGTCGGAAGACGGCAGCGGCAAGGGCGCAGCGCTCATCACGGCGGTGGCCTGCCGGATCCGGGAGGCCGGCCAGCGATAGAAGGAAGGAGGTTTGCCGAAGAGCTTGGTTTCAGCAAAACAGGATGTTTCCCCACCCGGTCCCTCCCTCCTTCCCTCCCTCCGTACACACACACACACACACACACGGCCTCCCCTTGCAAGCAGACTCTTAGCTTTACTTGTTCTCTTGAGATACCACCAGTGGGACTGGAGATGCTGTGTGCTTTGTATAAAGAGTTGTCTTAGGAGTTTTATTGCATGCCATAAAACCGCGTATCAAGTAAAGCTAAAAGTGTCTTTTGGCTGTCTACCTACATTTCCAGTTAGAGCTGGACCTGTTCCACTTGCAGCCTCCGTCAAACACCGGCTCTCCTTCCCCACATCTCCTAACCACTCTCACATCTTTCCTAACAGCAGAAAGGATAATGCTAGAATATTTAGGACACTGCATTGTCACTTTACAGTAACTGGTACCTATTTATGTATGTCGGAGTCGTAGCGTGTCTGTGCTGTAGAAAGCAAACCTCTTTAAGATTGGGCTAAAGACCTCCACTAGTCTTTTACCCTGATCAAGGCTGTATTATTTCCATGAAAGTCATGGTAACTCTTAAAGCACAGGGTGCAGAATTTCAACCGGCGTGTTCCGAGTCTGCACTGAGAGATACCAAGTATCTCTGTTGGTGAGCAATATTAAAGAACCTGCTGGATCCAAGTTAGAGGTGCCCCTTTAACTGCCCCAGCAGAGCACGTGCCTGGAAATAATTGGGGACTCAGGGTCTAATCCCATTTCCCGACCTCTCACCTGCACCCTCAACAGAGTGTAGTAATGTGGCATGTATGTATGGTTGTGCTACACTCCCTGGAAACCACTAGCATCCTTCCCTGGTGCATGTGTGGATACAAGGAACCACCACCAAGACGGGTCGGTCTCTTCCCTGCAAATACACACCCCCAAATGTTGTGGCCGTGTGTCTACACTTGGCATGGTGAGTTTGGTTTGCTTTTTGTCTGTGAAATAGTTCTGCATCTTCAGCCTTTTAGGTGACACCTGGATTTATACACTGTATATTTATGTTTCAAGAGATCTTACATCTTTTTATGTACATAGTCTCGGGGGGGGTTATGTTGCTTAGTTTTGACTTCACCTTTTAATGTCATTTAAGAATGGTACAGAGTACTTATTTTCTTTTTTTCTTGTGTTATTTTTTTAATTTAAAATTTTCTTGGGGTAGACTGGAGAAAGAGACCCAAGTTCCTGAGGACAGTTGTACAAGAGGTTTGGGCATTCTGAATGTATCGCCAGAACAAAAGGGGAACCAGAAAGCCAGGGATACGATGCACGGGAGCAGTGGGGCCCTGCAGCGAAGCTTTCAGGATTAGGCTGGTTTTCACCTAAGGAGAGGTTTTATTTTGTCCCCCTGCCCTCCCCAGCCTGCTTTGCTCTGGAAGGTCACATCGCTTCCTATTGCAGCGCGTGGTGAACTAACCCAGGGCTGTGCAGGGACCCGTGTCTGAGCCCGTATCCCTCACGCCACCGCCCCGCTCCAACAAACACTCGGCACGGGCACATGCGCTCGAGTGCTGACGGTGCGCGCGGGCTCGCAGCGAGGCACTGGCAAAGGCAATCTCAGCTTGTTCGATGAGGTTAGCAGCGATAACTGGCGTCGCCTCATTTCCATTTGGCATCCTCAGGGCTGCCTGCGAGCGTTCCCGGGGACGCGCGCGTGCCCGCAGCATCACTTTGTGTGCCGTGGTGAAAAGCAGCGATTAATTTTTGCCCACAGAAAAGCCTACGGATGAACGAAACGCTGCAGCTCTCTGCCTGCGTGAGCGGAGGCATACAGGTGGGGGTGGGTATGTTTCTGTAAATATTTAGCAGAAGATAATGAAATTCCAGTGGTGTACAAAAAAGAAAAAAAATTAATAATTCCCACGAACAGACCTTCAGTTTGGAGGACAGAGTTTTTGTCTATTTTTATGTATATTTTTATACTGCTTGGGGTAACCTCATTACCAAAAGTCTCTCTTCTATGTTGGGGGTCAAGTTCAATAGCACAATTTTAAAGCAAAATTACTCTTTGGGCATTTTAAATGCTTATTTTTTTTATAAGCCTCAAGACAATTATAACAAACAAAATCTGACTGTGTATAGAAATGATGTAAGAAACCAAGTTTAGTGGAAGTTTTAGAAGATGTTAAATAAATTTTTGAAAGGTGATACAGAAATCCTCTAATACGGTACCAAGCAGTTGTGTGTGATTCTTTCCTCAGAAGACCAGCATTTTGCCTACTGAAAAATGGAAACAGAAAGGTTTTTACCGGCTGCACCGTGCAGAAGGTTGCGTTAGTGGCTGTATTTTTAAACTCTTATCCAGCTGTACCCCTTTTGAAATACGTAGTGTTTTCATCAGTTAGTGAGCTAAATTTTATACAACTGTAGTTTTGGGGGGAGAGTGGGAAAGATTGGGACTATGGGGCAGCCCTGCTTTTGTAGCCGATTCAGACTCCAGTTCAGCAAATTGTTGGAGTGTGTGACTTAAAAGGGCGAGAAGAAAACGTGGGTAGTTAAGTACCTGGTTAGCAAGGATGGGTGGAGCCGGGTAACCTTGCTCCCCTCGCCTTTCTTTGCAGCGAAGGACGGGCTGTAACTTTACAGCGGCAGGAAGGATTAGCCCTGAGCTCACAGGGCGGTGGTGAATTGCTGGGCGCTTTCTCTTCTCCTGGAACAGAGAAAGTAAAGGCAGTACAAGTTACCTGGAGCTACAGCTGCTTTTGGTCTGTCCCGCAGTATCTGGTCTGGGGGGGGTAGCGGTAGCAGCAGCTCTGTGGGGCTGACAAAGCAAGGGAGCCACGTGCTGAAGCTTGAGGACACAGATCTAAACTTTCTGTGAGGTCAGGGAGGATTTTTGGCTGGGCTTGGTCAGATGGATGCCCACCTGGGTATCTACAAGGCTCCTGTAAAGCTTGAAAGCTTTTGCTTCCCCTTTGCTTTGACTCAGAATAAAGCAGGGTCTGAAATGTTCCCAGTTAAAAAGCAATACCTGAAGCGCTACAAGACACCCGTGTTAACCTGTGACCGCAGACATGCCCTTGGCCGCGGCTGTAAGAAAGGTTTTTATTAAACACTTTGAGAAGTTTGTGCTCCTTTTTGTCTCAAAGGGGATGAGCACCAGAGATGTTTGCTGTACAGTCTGATTGTAACTTCAGTGGGACTGTAACCTCACACCAAAATGTTGCCATGGGATGTTATGTGAATGTGTTTAAAAAGAAGAAGGGAAGATTAAATCGTAACTCTTGATATGAAGGGAAGATCAAATCTATTACATGTAGGGAGAGACAGGCAGACCGATCAACTTGGCTTGCTCAGTCTGTCTCTTTCCTCCAGTAAGAAGCGCTGCTTTGTGGATTTAGGATGGCTTTTGTTTTGCTTGGTTGTTCCCATTAGGATGCATTTTCTTTGCACTCCTGGTGTCGTGCTGGCACACCCTCTGGGCACGCAGGCATCAGGAGAACAGGGTCTTCCACTGCGTCAGCTGCTACGCTGGAGACGCTGACCTTTCCTTCCTGGCAATTCTCTCCTCGTCGGTACTTTGGACAGGATTTTATTGTTACTGCTTTTTTAAAAACATATATATATATATGTATATACAAGCAGCAAATTATTGAGCCTTCCAAGAGGAATTTGCCTCTTCCCTTCTTGGAGTCAAAGGCCGTGTAGGGAGAAGCATTGTATTTCAGTCACCCGAGATGTATGAGGAGTATCTGAGAGGACCTGAGATGCACCGATCTCTGGCCTAGAAGCAGCTCAGAGGTAGTTTGACCCGAGATAGCTTGGTGCCTCTGTGCTGCACCGTCTCTTATCAGGCAATCCAAAGGTGCCCAGGCTATCTGACAGAGATAAGAGGGTGAAAAAGTCCAGTGTGTGGGAGGGGAGTGGGGACAGGTGTAAAACAGTGACAAAACCCACAAGTCCCCATGCAACGGGTGGCGAGGTACAAGACAGCAACAAAATAAACTGGAACGGGGGGAGCCTTGGTCCCCCACCTCGCCACAATCTCCTCCCCTCCAGCAGATAGAGAGAGGAAAATACCTTCTTTCGACAGGTCATTTTGCTTGCTCTGGTAGAAAAGTGGTCACCGAAGGCAAAAGAGGTGATTCCTGGTCACAAGGTAATTTGGAGTAAGAAAGAGTCAAATTATTTAAATTATTTACCTTGTGACATCCCCGACAAGTCTGGAGTCTTTCTGGCCTGAAGCAAAGAAAATGCATCTTAATGTGGGTGTTGGCTCCGTGCGGGGCAGGGGGAGTTAAATAAAGCCAAAGACTGTTCAGCTGCTAGCAGAAATGAGTGACTGTAGATTCACCTAATGTTGTTATTTTGTGTTTACAATATTTATTTTTAGTAATTGACTGCAATTATATTATATATAGGCTTCCTTATTTTTGTACTTTTCATACCGTTTTCCTGAGTGTGGTGTTGTACTTCTCAGCTCCCCTTTGCCACGATTGCTGCTCCTAGTCAGTGACAAATAAAAGAGAGAAAAAAAACCAAACCAACCACCCATTTTCTGGGGTAAGTTGTGACGTGTTTGGGTTTCTGTGCTCCTCTCACTCCTGCCCCCTGCACTGAGCCACTCCTTAGCAATCCCTCAGGAAGGGCACCTGCACCACTGCCCCATCCCCAATCCCTGATCCTGTCCGCTGGGAAGAAGGACCAAAGCTGGGAAGGGAATTGCTTCTTTGCACCGACAGACCCTCCACAGCCAGGAGGGTGAGGGAGGGCACAGGTAGGACCAGGACACCCACAGATCAAGGGAAGGAGTCGTTAACGTCTGGAAAAAAATATCAAGATGAGTTTCATGTCAGCTCTTGCTCCATACCCCACATCCTCATCGCACTGCAGGGTGGCGGTTCCCCAGCAGCAAGGGCAGACGTGCACGGGGGCGTGCAGGCCAGGGCTGCGTTTGCACACAGCAATGGCTTGTTCAGGCTGAGCAGGGGCTGCGGGTGGCCCTGGGAGCCAGCAGGGTGCAAGGGCAGAGCAGGATCTGGACCTGAACGGGAGGTGCTAAGCCCTCAGCACAAAGCAGGAGCCCTGTGGCAGCTCAACCCACCACCGAAGCTTAGATTTCAACTCCGGCATTACATAAAAACCAGATATTTTAATGTACCTGTTCTCTTCTGCCATTAACAAGCAGCCCATATTTCTTTCCACTTAATCAATGACAGTTTTAAAGTCTTGGTACTTCTAGTTAAAAAAAGAAAAACTGCTTCCTTAAGTATCTAAATACCAAGTTCGATGCTGTAGCAGACTAACGTCTTAAAATGCTTCTGCTTTCTGCTTCCAAAGAAGTATGACACAATGCAAGTTTATACAGAGGTGCATCCACGGGCTGAATCCAATAGAAAAAGCTATTCGTGGCAGAAAAGGATAGACACTGGTGAGTATTCCACTTGAAATCATTTATTGACAAGTTACCATGTTTTTCCATCTTGCCTAACACATTTTTATCCTTGTTATAAAGTACAAATGGTTTTATACTTTTCTGACGACGTTAAAAAAATAGGCTACTAAAGAGGCAAAATTCCCACTTTGAATCCAAAAATCCTGCTGTAAGAATTCAAAATTGCAACAGACAAACATAAAACCCAACACATAAAGAACGAATACGGTGTGCCTCTTACACTTGACTCATTCGTCAAACCAACTGAAAAGGAACCCCTTGTTCCCAGCTCTTACTTTGGATCCTGTGACCTTGCTTAACTGATGTGAAGTTTGTGTTAACTCATACAACTCAAAAGGCACTCAAAGGTCACAAGTTCCTGAGCTAAAACGGGATATATTCCCAATGTAACAATTAAAAGAAGTCACAAAAAAACAATGTTTAAAAACTGGTATTTGGTTCATGTGAGTATCGTAAGCATTCTGTAGAATCCTAGCTGAAAGCTGCTGCTGTGTCATAGACTCAAGTGATGGTAAATACATTAAGAGTATTTTCAGTACATGGAAAAAAATAATTCACTTACGAGCATCCTTATTAGCAAATTCACGTGCTAAAAAAAGATAGATATTTTCTGCAACGTTAAAAAAAGCCCAAGAACAAGCCCAAGAACAAGAAAGAAATGTACGTGTATGAGATGCAATAAGGGCTTAAAAACAAGCAGGTTTGAAAATCTGTACAGTTAAATAACTAACAAAAGTTGACAGGCAACATTTACACAGATGTATTTGGCCCTAATGGAAAAGGACCACGAAAGTAAGCAGAATATGGATCTGGTATTTACAGATCAGTTATTAAAAAAAACAAACCACAACAAAAAACACACTAACAATCCTCACATCCTACAATGTGTGCTCAGAATCTGACAGGTAAGCTCTTAAGATGTCATTCACACAAATTCCCTATTTCCAATTTGGCTCAGTTTTCGCCCAGAAAAATAAAAGTGTAACATTTCTCAAACATGGAATGGCTACCGTCTGAAGATGCAGAACAGAAATAAAAAAAAAAGGGATAACCAGTTTTGGCCTATTTAATTTCTGATCTTCTCTTCAGATATGCATAGGAGTATACTAAGGCCGTATATATTTGCTACAGGGTAAGGCCTTTTTTGTTGTCAAAGCTCTGTGCGTCAGCAGGGCATTTAACTTAAAGCAGGCATAGAGAGTTATGGAAGTGCTACTATATCCCACTGAAGAGGTCTCAGGTTTCCGAATTATCTAGCAGTGCCTCGCTGTCGGCCTTCTTCTCTGGAGATGTGTACAAGAAGTTACAGCAGATATAGAGCGGGAAGATCAGGAGTCTACTGTCCAAATTCATTACTACCTGCTCCTGTAAAGCAAACACAGTGGACATCTGCATAGCAAGCAATGCCATCAGAGGGAAGTACATCAAAAAGCACACCAGACTGATACTAACAGTTATTCTATACATTTTAATTACTATGCATTAAAAAGCAGAAGATAAAAAAACCAAGATGGTAATTCACCTCCACCTTAAGCAGATGTTTTATAATATTAACACTGATAAGCTATTCTCAAAATGCTTATAACCCTTTGACCCAGTGCTGCCAACCCTTCTGCATCAAAGGTAACAGAACCGTAAGAAATGGCTGAGCGAACTTTACCTTCAAGCACGTTGGAGAGAAAGGGAGACTTTTCTGCCACTATCAGTTTCAGGATATTTAACCAACCAGGCAATCCATAACAGACTATACTTTAAAGGAAATTACAGTTTGTTGGTCGGAATTTTTCGGTTTTACTCTAGGAACTTGGTTTGGGGTAGCAAAAGCGAAACTTTATCCTACAGTAAGGATGGCATTTACAAGGAAAAGTTTTCTATGTACTCACCATCTACGTATCACTGCTGATTAGGATTTAAGAAACTTGAGGATCAAACCTTTCACATTCCTTACTAAATTCTGCTGTCACAGATGGGTGGAAATGGGCACATTCTCTTACGAAAACTCCACTCCTCTCTGAGGCTTTTATTTATTTTTTTTAATAGAGTAATAAATACCACCCTTGAACAACATGCAGACATTCTTTTAACTCTTCAGCTTACAATACAAGAGAGTCTTCAAACAAACTCCAAATTTGCCTCTAAATAAGCAGGAACCTGATGGACGTATTATTCAGACGGGTAATCTCACCAGTGTTGGGAGTCTGGGAAAGCAAGCAGTCATCCAGCAGAACACTACGCTAACAGCAGAGAGCTTCAGCAGCACCATGGGAACTGATTTCACTGTTATCAACACTAATGAAATCCACCCTATCCTACCGTAGTTACACTTCACAAATTAGTTTAATCTTCCACTATAAAAGGAACACTTGAAATTCCACAAAAGCGATAACAAGAAGAACAACTCCTCTTCAAAAGCATTGCTGACTTCTCCGCATTTTTTTCATGCCTTGGACTCCACAACTCAAGTTCAACAGCTCAAAAATCCACAAACATACCTGGTCCTTCTCAAGGGTTAGGATCTGATATCCTGTTGTTCTACTGCAAATAATTTTCCCGCTGCTATCAAAAGAGGCTAGACGTAACCTAGAGATACAACAACAGTTAAATTACTTAGTCTCCCACAACTTAGTTTTTCCAGCACAAAGAGTTTCTCCCAAGGAGACAGAATAACATTTTCAAACGTAACTAACTTGGTGGCAACAAAATTTAATGCAAGCACGGATGGAAAGACTTAGTTACGGTAAGACATTTTAGCATAGACCACAGGGTCTGCCTTGGTTATTGTTTACCTGAAGGCTATGTTTCTCCGAGGCTGCAGACTGACTGATCCACTGCATGGCTGATTCAGTGTATTCCGTTTGAAAATGATGTAACGATTTGTATAAGTAACAAGAAGGTCAAAGCCAAAGTTGAACCCAGTCCACCGCCAGCAGTACTGAAGAGCGTTAAGTTAAAAAACAAACAAACCAGTGTGAGTTACTGGCTACAACACCAACGATAAGTGCCACTTCTCCAACAAATCAAACTTGGGAGTGGGATTCTCAGCTACAAAGAGGTATGGTGGATTCAAGGATCCTTGCCAACACCTATTTGAAACATAAGACATCTTGGTAGGCAGCCACTCACTTTAGCTGCCATCCTTTGCAGACAGATGACTACACGAGACAAGCTTAGTATCAGCTGCCTTCCAAACATACAAAAATACATTTAACACAAGTGGATCTAAAATACTTTTGCATTCTGGTAACTGGTGCTGTATTTCTGAGTAGCACTTAACTACACGTCCCATTCATGCTTAAAGCACTCCTTGGAGTACAACATCCTTATGTTAAGTGACTTCACTGGGAAAAAAATTCACGTTTCCTGTTTTTTCACAAGACCTGTTACCTTAAGACACACATACATATATGGAACACAGCGGTTCTGCCTGCGGCTATTACACATTTTACCTAGAGAGCTTCCTTTTCCAGTTAAAAAGAAAAAGACATCAGTGACCAGAGCTGTATTTTAACTGCAGGTATTTTACAAGTCTCAAGTGATAAGTCATGGCTACATTCCCTCCTTTCACACACTAAAAGTTTTTCCAAACATGGGCTTGCTTGCAGAACAAGAGCACAATTAAAACACTAATTCCTTATTCATCGCAAAGACGGCAAGCGTTTTCATCCTTCTAGGGAGAACAAAATAATTTCTTTAACGTACCATCTCCATTACATCTTTTTGATGCAGTTTGACAATTAAGACCTACATGTTTTGAAAATACCTAACATGTCTAAGACATGTCAGCTATGCACAGACTTAGCCACACACCATACTTACATCACCATCCTTTGCAAGTTTTCGACCACACCTCATGCTGTTTCCTTCCAGTTCCTCTTTATTTATTTCTTGAGGCCTACAAAAAAAGTGCATCTTTAAGGACACTTAAACAGCTTTGTATGGTACTTTAACGTGGGAAAGATGAACGGACCTGAGTAAACTGGTCTGACCACACAACTGACCCTTCTTCGAGCAGAGGTTAGACTAGATGACCTCCCAGGATCCCCTCCAACCCGAATTATCCCAC